ACATTAATAGATGTAAAAAATATAGGTTAGAATAAACAGCTTATTAGGGAACAGAAGAAAGGGTATAAGCAATATAAGCAATATAAGCACAATTATTACGTTCACTGTCAAACTGTCATTATATTTATACAACATACATATCCAATATGCGGCAATTAACGAATATTGATATTAACAAAGAAATATTACTACGACATACGTCAAGACGATAAGCAGCACTCAGTCCATGAAGACGTTGTCATCTGAAGCGAGTTACTTTTCCTCATCGAAATGATTTACTCTTCTTGATAGATATTACTAATAGATTGCATCTAACAATAAGTTTCATATTTACTAATTTCAAAGAAAGTGAGACAGTGTTCGTCCGTGAAATTCTACTTTTTGATAATTTTTCGTTAATTCGCCAGAAGTTAATGTTTTGTTTTTTCGACTTCTTTCCTAAACCATAATTCTTTAAGGACATATTGGTAGCCGTGAATCTTGTCTAAAAAATTATCTTGATTTAGTGTAAGTATTGCTTTTTTTCCCATCGACATAAGTTTAGAACACTACTTAACACGTTGACTGTCCATGTATCATAGATGATTTATTTAATTTTTGACTATGGAGTTCACGTATCAGATATGATACATTTGCAAGATTAGACTAAATATGATTTTGTTGTTGTGTACGTGAAAGGTTTCTTCACGTGTTGTGTACGTGAAGAAATCTTTCACGTACACAACAACGAAATCATATTTAGTCTAATCTTGCAAATGTATCATATCTGATACATGGACAGGAAACATGTTAAGAATCTTAGCTTATGTCTAATAAAAAACTTGGAACAACGGATGTCCAAAAACAGAATACTATTTGACTCTAGCAAATAGATTGTTGTTATGGATTCAAAATCAGATGTGCATATATTCTCCTCGTAGAATTAATATACGTCAATATTTTGTTGTTGCTCATTAAAATTTTTACTAAAAAAGTCCCAACAAAAAGTGACTACTCAGAACTTGAAGAACATCTTACAGTTTGATACACTAAACTTTTTTCTACTCTTCGCTGATTATACATTATGAAAATGACGTTTTGACATACAGAATGATGACATTTGTTCTTTTGATTGAGTATACATACGACATTATTTCTATCGATGATTAATAACAGTACTAATAGATGCAATTAACTTTGTAATCATAAGTATAAACAAAACGTATTCGTATATTTGACGAATCTTTTAAATAATAACAATGGAATGTGATCATAACATTTAGAACCAATATGTGTACAGATTGCCGATGGTGGGAATTTTGTTATGCTCAAAATTCGATGGAATTTGCTCTATATGATTGATAACGGCACTTCAAGATCTACGAAAAGGTTATCAAACGTAATCCCATTTCTACGAGCTTCAAGGATATTCCCTTAATTTAGATTTTTCAGATGGATTCTGCCAAACGAAACTAACAATCAGTCGATGCATTTTATGGCTGAGATACCTCAATTAGACATCATTTAGTCGCGAGACACTAGCTACCATCAAGCCACATGCATCTCCAATAGATATATACACACAGTCGAGTTACCGGAAAGCTACCATATAGGCGCCTAGACATTTTACAACATTTTACCTAGGCAAATTTACAACTTCTATTGACTTATCAAGCTAGACATCTAGAGGTTTAGCTGAAATTTGATCTCTTTTCTGTTTTTAGACTAATTTGGACTTGTGAGACTCTAAACTATGTGCTCCTTTAGAACAAAATTTGAAGCTGACGTCTAGAGAGAAATATCGAGTACAAAACAGTTACTTACACTGTCTGCTAGTTTGTTCTATTGTTTTTTGCTGTTTACTTTAGATGCATAGTAGTTATTTTTCTCTCTTTAAACCTAGGGGTTGTACTAATTTGAAATAGTATTATTATAGATGCTACAACGTCTCAGTTGTTCTAATTTTCTGTCGTTTTACACAAATTCATTAACCAGTCACACCTACGTTTTGCTAGTATATTGATCTAGATCCTCTTCTCTTTTTCTAAGAAAGACTTATCTAATAAAACTATGGTAATTTGTTCTCTTTTGGCTTCAATTACTTTCAAATTTACAACTTCTATGACTTATCAATCTGTCTACTACTTCTTTATCCGTCAAATTTTCTAGATTAAGTCCTTGCCGATTCTTAAATATCAGAGTCAAAAATTTGCATTAATTATCATCTAGTTTCTCTGTTCCACTCTTCGCTTCTCACTTGTATAGAAGTTAGACTTTTACTATGAGTAGAAAATCAGTTTCTGAGAAATTTTAAGACATCCGTTTATCTAAGGGAATGGTTAGAACTTTAGCTGAAAGAGTGTGCACACAGTTTTGTTTAGTTTTTTTAAAAAGGTTTAAAAAACATAGAAATATCTGAATTCTATAAAGCAAACATCTGTTGTTTAGTCTTATATATTTATATGAAATTCTTATTATGAATAATTCAGATGATGTGGACTTGAATCTGGATGAATTTTAATATATGCGCGGCATTGTGGATAAATTGAAAACATTGGAGTGCCTTATGAAGTTACATGTGTGTAGCACCCTAGTTCATTTCTTATATGGAGGTAACAGAGCTTTTATTAAAAGTAGCCTGAAGAACTATATACACAAAGGATGATGACATAAGTCTTTTGCGCAAAAGCAGACAGAAATCAAAGTAAGGATACATAAAACTATAATTGAAAACCTATAACGTTGTCAAGATGTCATTAATATTTTCTTCCGCAGTCCTGTCTTCGTAATATTGTGCAGAAATCAACACTTTTTGAGTAAGGACACGTGGTTTATCTTTTGAAGCTTGTTGATCCAATGTATATAGTGCACGGATGTGTACATTGAAACAGCTAATGCTGCCCCAATTGCCTTCACCTTTTTATCATCATAGAACGTTGATATATCAGAGGCACCATAGAAGCTTTTTATTAAGAAATGCACCTCGTTTTTCTGCAGTGTATTCTAATAGTACCTCATACAGTTCCGTTTATAGAGTAAATTACCAATATCAAGTTATTTTTGGACGAAAACTTAATTAGAGCGCTCTGAAGAGCACAGGATAAAAAACGAGCATTTGTTGTATCTCTGATTATTTTGACTACCATTTCATTTGCCAAAAGTGATTTTCATATATTCTAATAGGGTAAACTAAAGATTGCAAACTGATAGCATTTCTCAATATAACTATTATTTCATGTTCGACACGGCGTAGCTTCGTGGTTATGTTATTCGTCACGTACTGCAAACTTACTGTATTCGAACCTCGGCACCGACAGATCATGTAATAACCCTGCTCAGAGCTGTGGTTGATGACTAGTAACGAGATGGGTAACCATGTTAGAAGCTTGTCAATTTCAGGAAGGCTATTGAAACTGCCATTCGGCAACATCCTACACGGGTAACGGTAGCCCCAAGGCGAGATATTCTTTCTTTCTTTCTTCCTTCCTTCCTATTTCACATTCAAGATAATTTGACTTTAATATTGACACGCTTAATGATATTCCATCACATATGAAAAGTTTATGTCAGTTGCCTAAATAATTTTGTATTCAGTATTACTATTATTATTATTGCCCGTTATCGTGAATATACACTGGTATGTTAAGTGTAGCTTGCCAGCATATAATTAAAATAAATATTTTACTGGTAGCGCATATCTTTATAACTTTCTATCATATTCAGGAAGAGCAAATCTGGTAATAGCAGTTTGTAGAAAATTAAAATATTGAACTGATCAAAAAATTAACTGAAACTACTCAAATAATTTTTGTTACTGCTCAATTGTAGATATCATATGTCAAAGACGCAACGTTCAACCGTAATCATTGAAGAGGCATAGGACTGAGAATACTCGACCTTCGAAAAATGAAATAATATCATCGCTTTTTAGTTAAACTATTTTCTTCTTTATTTCATTTAAATGGAAATATCCTAGTACATTACAAAAGAAGAAAAATTTTCAAATATGTAATCGACGGAAGGAACTAGAGTATTTGTTTCGCATTAGAAAATTTTCTTTTTCCATTGGCAAAAGACAACTTAGAAAATATTACTACTGTATAGACATTATGTTTTCAGGTTTTCTATTTCTTTCTTTCTTTCTTCCTCCCTCATTCAATTATTAAAACTAACAACGTGCCTGATTAAAGAAAAAAAATTAACAAATTTAGAATGAACTGTACTCACTCATTCTTGCAGAAAACAAGGATTTCTAAAATACGATAAGTATATGTAAGTCAAATTAAGATTCTTAGTTTTATACTGCACAAAAATTTCGTGTGAATGAATGAACATATTAAACTAAGATATTTCTACTCTCTAAAAGATTTTTGTATCATACAGAACATAAAAGGATATTTCCATGTCGGGATACCCTTTTTGAAATCTCTGAATAACAAATGCAGATATCCTTGTTTTTTGGTTCTGTGGAATTTAGGAATACTCTCAAAGAAATCTTAAAAAATTAAAAAGGATACACTGAAATACCAAAATGGCATTGTAAAATACGGTTAAGGGTATTTCTAATGTCACAGAACCAAAAAAAAAGAGTGTATCTGCATTTGTTACTCAGAGATTTCAAAATGGGTATCCCGACATAAAAATATCCTAGTTTGGTTCTTTTTTTTTAGAGAGAGTAGTTGTCATCAGTATTAGTAAAATTTACAAACAATGGTTTCTTTTATCCTCGAGTATTAGAGAAAAAAAATGATCATTATGTATTTTCTTATGTTTATCTATCTATTATATTACAAGAAAACTAGAATATATAACAAATAAAATAATTAGTTTTCTTTCCTCGTTTAGATACACTATGAATGTTTTCTTTTTTTTGCGTCTATTTTTAGAAAAACATGTTCGATTAAACTTCGCTGAAATAATTGTTATTAGTAGTAAATATTCTCCGATCCAATAAACAAATATGATATGATGTTCTATGTCTTTTAATCGAGCAAAAAATTTAATTTAATTTAATTTTCATTATGTCAATATCTGTTGGTCCAACAGCGAGCACTGCGGTGACACTTCATTGTTTACCAATTCGAGAATATTTGAGTTACGGTAATATTAAATCGGTTGTTCGAGGATTTATAACTGAATATGAAACACCGAAAATAGTTACCATTCATTCAATATCAATCGCACTAATGTGTCGTCTTATTCAAGTATTAATACTATGTTATGGTGTTGCATATCTAATGATTTACAAAAAAGGGTTATCAAGAAACAGACACATCAATCATTAGTTCAATTACGTTAAAAGTCAAAGGAATCGGTATTAATCAAACATCAAAAAATCAAACGTTGGTCATTGATGCAGCTGGTTAGTAGGTGGTAAATGAGAATGTTAAAAATTCGAAAGAATTATTGCTTTTAATTATTCTAGATTATATTGTACCACCACAAGAAAATAATGCATTATTTATTATGACTAATTTTATTCGGACAGATCAAGAACATAAACGATGTGAAGGTAAATTATAACAAGATAGAAAATAGTCAATCAATTGATTTTTTTTATCTGTAGAATCGCCTGGCATCGCAAAAGCAAAATGTGTATCAAATACTCATTGTTTATTAGGGATAGATCATAATAAGGCCAATGGAAGATGGACTGGTTCGTACTCTTCGTTCGTTTTTATTTAAATGATTATATATAATAAACTAACAACTAATCGATCTAAATACAATTTAGGCACAAACCCAAAGGTTCTGTTATATGTAGTTAATGAAAATGTCACCTATACAAACAGAAAATAATCTATTAGTCTTTCAACATATATTTGTTCTTTCTTAGGTATATGTCTCAAGCCAAATAATTCATTGCCTAATACCACAGGAATCTGCCAGTTGGAGGGCTGGTGTCCAGTGGAGAATGATTCGGTACAACCGTCTCCTATAAAAGATGCATCACATTTTACAATATTTGTTAAAAATTTTATCGAATTTCCTCGATTTAAAGTCAAACGAAAAAATACTGTCAATACAGCGAAAAGCTGTATTCATCATAGTGTGACAGATAAGGAATGTCCCATATTTCGGTAGGTAAAAAAAAAACAATTTCAGAATGGGTTGATACAGATACAAAAAAACCTATATAACAACATGTTTTACTTCTAGAGTTGGAGATTTACTTGAGGAAGTTGAACCAGAGGCAGAAGAAAGAGATAGAATGTTGACATATGGTGGTGTTATTCGTGTAAAAATTGACTGGGATTGCAATTTAGGTTTGTAAATTCAGTTAAAATTAAGAACATTGATAACTATATTTAATTTATACTGTTAGATAAACCTTTGTCAGAATGTAAACCTGTATATACTTTTGGACGTCTCGATACTCGATTTAACGAAGAAAACTTTTCTTATGGATTCAATTTTCGATTTGCTTCTCATTGGAAACATCAAAATCATGCATTTCGAACATTGACAAAAGCGTTTGGTCTACGCATGATTATGTCGGTTTCTGGTCGAGCAGGCAAACTTGACTTTATTACGTTGAGTTTAAATATTGGTTCATTAATTGGTATATTGGGTTTAGCTACGTTTATTTGTGATATTGTTGCACTCTATCTCCATAGACAATCAACCGTTTATCGTCAACAAAAATTTCAAGATGTTGATTTAAATTTGATGCGTTTAGAAAGATTGAATAGCATGGTACCGGGAACCGATGACCGAATTAAACAAAATCATGAACAACGTAGATCAACAATAGATGACAGTGCCAAAGATGTTCATAAGCGAAAAACAAAGCACAAGAGTAGAAAACGTTCATTATCGCAAAATCATCTGTCACATGAACAACATCATAATTTTTCCCTTGAAAATTCACCTGATATGTCATCTATACGAAACATTGATTCTTCTCATTCATCGTCGGGAACAAATAATGCTTCATTAGCGTCTCCTGTTGTTACACCAGTGATGTCCACAAAACATCCGCAACAACAAAATCCCATAATTAGTCGTTCATCATCATTTAATAAAACCTTATCACCACAATTATCACCAAGTGCAACGCGCCGATTAAAAGATACTAACTCGCATCGTAGCAAACATAACAGATCGAAATCGCGAGATAATGTTGCATCATATGAACATGATCGATTAGATAAACTTCTAGATGGAAACATGGATGAAGGTGATAATATTGTTTTTGTGGACGATGATGTAGATAACGAGGACGATAAAGCGTCTATAAACACAATACAGTTTCATTTATCCGATCAACCAGTAACATCGAAAATAGATAATACAATGATATCTGATTTATTACCAAATCCAAAATTAGAGACGTTTTTATAAACTTTAAATTGATCTATATTTTTTACTTTATTTTATTTATTAATTGTATCAAATATCAAATATCGCTTCTCTTTCACATTTTGTGATCATAAAATATTTTGTTGAAATTTTAATATTGCAAAAGTGTCCATAACTTACGATGGAACATATCCAAGTGTGACTTCCACTTTTCCTTGAAACAGCTGGTTATGGGTAACTTTTTATGCGGATATCAGGTGCGTGATCAACATAAAAAGTTACCCATAACCAGCTATTTCTCAAGGAAAAGTGGAAGTCATACTTGAATACGCACCCTCGTTAGATAGCATAGCAATGTTTGTTGAGAAACTCTTCATCTACATCTTCTATTAAATAGTATGTGAATACATTTTTAGATATGTATAAAGTTAATAAATTTCTTTTTACGTTTTTCAGTTACAGAAAAGTCTTAATCTTTCAAGCTTGGGCTGATCGTTTCTACGGGCACAATCCTTCTGATTGTCTCACTATAATGTTTCTTTCAAATAGTTAAAAATATATAGATTAACCATTACTAAAATGACTTAGTCTTCAGAGACGGTCACCCACCTTCTTAGCAATCATCGTCTTACTGTAGCCAAAGAAAGGAAAGATCTTTTGTCAAAACTCCCTAAGAGTTTCTACAACACTAAGTCATTTTAGTAATGGTTGATCTATATATTTTTTAACTATTTGAGAAAAACATTATAGGTTGGCAGTCGGAAGGATTGTGCACGTAGAAACGATCAGTTCAAACTTCAGAGATTAGGACTTTTCTTTTAACTGAAAAGTAGTTCTAAAACAAATTTATTAAGATCATGCAACGTTCATTTTAAAAACTAACTCTATCCGGTTTGTTGCTGTGGTGAAACCAAATAAACTTGTTTAAATTAAAAACTAAAATCAATATGTATATACTTTCACTTGACAGGTATACTTCAAGTTTCACTGAAAACAAAAGCAAAATATACTAAGACGTTGAAAAACAAGTGTTTTTTATGAAAATAGAAAATTATGAAATAAGCGTATTATTTCAAAGGAATAATATAAAACAGATGAAATAATACGAGCAAAATAATAATGGTTCGCGTATTAGAACCTTTTCTGCGCTTGTTTATGGAAAGAATGTGAAAGATGAAGGATATGTAATACTACATATATCCAAGTCAAATTTATTTAGTCCATGATCTTAAAACTGGCAATGTGGTGATAAAAAGTTTAACAAAAACGTTTAAGCAAATCACCCCCAATGCATAAAAAAGGTACAAACAAATAAACAAACAAAATATAACAATTAGTATATTCCACTTCACAAATAACAAATATAAAACGTTTAACTTGAAAAAGAAGCCGATTTTAAGACTCTCCTGATGTTTCATTAGTATTATTATTATTACTGTGGGTTGAACTTATTAACAATGAACGTTTTGTCTCTAATTCATTATCGGCACGTTCAACAGCACGCGGTATATCCAGACTTGTTTTAGATGCCATTCTCGGTAACACCAATTGACAGTCTTCTTCGCCAGCACTAATCTTATGCATTTTCCATAGCAAATCATATGTAATTTCATCCGTGACGACTGAATTATGTTTGTATTTTGGATGATTTTCAACGAATTGACGCATCCATGCAGCATTTGTCAGCAACGTACCTTAAAAGAAAACAAATTAGCATATAAGTGCATAGTTTGCATTTATTCCTTAATTACCAGCAGCTCGTTTGCTTATTAAATTCAAATACTGATTAACTGTACATCGTGTATCAGCATCAATTTCTATATTATTAAGATAATCTTGAACTATGTTTAAAAGGCCGACGAATTGATCCTACAAAATGAGATATAAGAATGTAGAGCTGAGTAACACTCAATCAATTTCAATAATGAAAACATATATATCAACTTGTTTTATTTACTGATCCGTTGATTATTTCGTTCACTGTCATCAAGCGGTCTTCTGACTCGCCTTCGGTGTTATCAAATAATGGTTTTTTAACGAACGCCATAGACGGTGTTTCAGGCGTTTGTCCTAGAGGGTAACAAATCAGTAACAAATGTGCTAAATAAACCATTTTTCTTACCTGTGGATAATGACTTTCTAAAATGAAATTTTTGATGTCTGATAGCATCCCGTTGTTGAGCAAATTGCATATTTTTATCCACCTATAGATGAATTACCGCAAATGTTCTACACGTTAAAAAATAAACTTATTCAAGCATACGAACATTTGAAATTGGTATTAATAAATTCAAATTATACGTCATTATTGCTCTCGTTAATAAAACAACAAATGTAACTAATGCCTGAACAGAAATATTATTATATTAGTCTATCGCTGTTGTTCAACTTCTTCTTTATAAAACATACTGCATTTTCAAAATCTGTCATTTGTAACTATAACAAAAAATTCATACTTAGTGATAATAACTAATGTCAAGTACTATTCACTACATACTTCAGTTGGACGAAATTCAACACGCCATCCAATATTACTGTTTAATGGAGGGGGTTTAAACCTCATCGATTGCCAATTTGTTGAATTAATATTCTAAAAGATAAGTAGAAGCTTCCGTTTGTTCATTTCATATACTAGTTGAATCGTTTACTTCGAAATGTTCTGTATCTTTTTCATCATCTAAGTCAAGTTTCTCTTCAAAAAGTACAAGTGTATCACGAATGAACAGATGAGCAATGTGTTGAGCTAATAAATGATCAATACCTGAAGAAGAAAAAGGATATGATGAAAACAAACAAACAAGATAAATGTTGAAAAAAACACAATACCATTTGATGTGAGTTCTTGAAATACATCCATATCTTGTACAACATCGATATCGTTGAATTTTGCACTTTCTGGAGATATATAGCAATCAATCGGTGAATAACGCGATTTTGGAATTAAAAAACGATCATTTTTTAATGGCTAAATGAGAAGAAAATATCGTGGAATTTCAACATTTTTCTGTAATTATTACTAGTGTGAGCAAACCTCAAAGCCTCTTTCTTCTGCTGTTCGATCATCTGTCGCTGCACATAAAATATTCCATCGGCAATCAACATCAGCAAGATAGCCACGCCATACTGGACATGCAGCACTAATAGCAAGCTAAAAATGAAATATACGGTCGTCCAATCTAACAGAGATGACAGTGTAAAGAGGCATAGAATACAATTAGATCGAATGAGACGTTATATCCTACCATAATGGGTGTTAACGGCGTTAATTGATCATACAGAAACCGAGCCTCGTCAATGGATTGAGCTTGAAATGTCACCTGAAGGCAACTACAGCCCATTCCTAACCCCATGGCATCCAAATAAATACAATCCTCCACTGAAGCAGCTTCACTTGTCCCATTATCATCGCCATAAACAGATAAATCTTCTCTAAACGGTCGCGGCGTATTTTTGTCGACAAAGACTAAATAAAATCAATTTTTATTCATCAAATTATTTTTCAGTTTTGATCTTACTCGGTACATTAATGACCACTTTTGCTTTGCGTCGTTCTCGAATATTTCTTGTCAATGTCCTGAATTCAAAGAGAGAGAGAGAGAGAGAGAAGAATTGCAGAATTATCGAGAAAACTGTTGTAGAACTAAAAGCTACCTAAATCTTGGATGATCAGGATATATAGCTTCATCAGGAAAAAATAAAGAAGATGATGCTGATACACCTGGTTTCGGTGCATAAGTAGGAAAAGTAAATTTGGGACAACCGTTTCTAAAATAGATTATTGATTACAATAGAATTTAAGTGAAAGAAAGATATTTGTTACCTGGGAAATGTTGATGTACTTATAACGTATTCATCTTTATCAAGTAAGTCCTGTCCCTGCTGTCGTCTAAGGAACAACAAGCAAACGTCAGACTTGGATAAGTTTATAACATTTATGTACTCTATCAAAGTGTCTCTATTAATTGACTATTTTAAAATATACCTTAATCTCATGTTTGCTTCAACAAGATTGAAATGAGACGGTAAATGTCCGTAAGGCTTGCCTGGCGTTCCTAAGACATAACAGAAACACCTTATGGAAATATTATTTGTAATATCTTTTTTTGCGAGGCTTCTTAACTGAGATCACTTTTTTGATAAAATGCGTAATATAAAAATTAACTTTTTTAAATTAACAGCAGCCATAGACTAAACTGAAATCTATTTTATTAAAAAAGATCTGACGTTTCGACTCTTCATAGAGTTATTTTTAAAGAATATTACAGAACATTACTGTACTTTACGCATGAATTCATACGTCATATCTTTTTTAATAAAATAGATTTCAGTTTAGTCTATGGCTGCTGTTAATTTAAAAAAGAATATTCTAATCAAATTATTGGCTCTTAATCGTTTTAATAAAAATTAACATCAAAGAAACATCACAGGGCGTGAAGCGCAAAATGAGAGTGAGTGGAAAAAAGTGATCTCAATTAAAAATGAGTCCTTTTTTCGCTTTAATCGAAGGAAAAAAATTGACTAGTTCTACTATATCTGTTAGAGGCAAAAATAGAACCAGTTTCAAAAAGCTCGTTGTTGATGTCAACTCTCTGTAAAAATTAGGTCTCTTCATACCTTCAATCATGTAATCAGCATATTCTGGACGCCAAAGTGTTTGGCAATCACTACACAGATAAAAAATGAAAACAATTTTTTTATTATATCAGAAAAAATGCTTGAATTACTCTGGATTTTCATCTTCTGGTTGCATAAGTGTAGGTAAAATATCGTGGGCTTTCAAGGCTAGCTGCACTCTTTTATTTTTATGATCAAATCGGACAATCATAAATTCAACCTAGAAATGAGCAAAAAGGTTCGCTTCTAGTCGAACATGTTTTTCAGTAAAACGTACCTCGTCACCCCATTTCAAACAATCATTACGACGATCGTTAACTTTTTTGAAATTATGAATGAATTGTTTAACACCATGCGCTCGAATGAATGCTGCATGTTTTTTCGTTTCTTCCCAGGTCAAAGCTTGGCCTTTAGTTAATAGACCCATGAATAATGAAGAAGATTTTTTCAAAATATTCTCTAAAATGAAAGAAATCCATTTAAAAAATGTGTACAACCTGTATGTAGTTTATTAATAGTAATCGTTAATTTCTATTTTATAGTAGGCTACGTACAGTAAAAGTCAAGTCAAGTCATCGTGATTATGCGGAAAAATGACAGAGAGAGAGAAATTTATATACATATAGTTAAATATCATATAAAAAAACATGAAAATAATAGAAAGAAAAAAATCTGTTAAACCAATTTAACTATTTCTCTCTCTCTGTCATTTTTCCGCATCATCATGATGACTTGACTTGACTTTTACTGTACGTAGCCTACTATAAAATAGAAATTAACGATTACTGTTAATAAACTACTTACAGATTATAAATTTTATAAATGGATCTCTTTTTTTTTTTAACCTTATTCATAACCCTGTTTATTAAGAAAAGATACAACAAACTTGACTTAGCGAGCAGACCAAGGTCTATGGCGCAGAGTCAACTAAACAATCTAACGAAGAACTAAGACAAATACATATATAGGTTGCACTTGTAATTATAACAATAAAAGAGAAAGTACAGTAATAGACAAATGTCTTTGAGTCTGTGATCATATTAGAAGGGGGGGGAGAATATGTTGTGCTCTAGACTGCAGCAGTGATCAGTAAGAAAGAAATGTGTTATCAGTCATTCACAGCAAAAAACCAGCTGATTGAATGATATAGTCGGTAACAGCTTTGACAATAATCTTGATTTCTTGAGGTGTTAGAGAAATTTCCAGAAATAAAGTTTTTAAATCAAAAGAAAGATGAGTTAAATCCGATTGAAATACAGAACGTAGAGCTAATCTTGCAGTATCGAACAAAGGACACGCCAAGAAATAGTGAGAAAGGCTCTCTTCTGTCACATTGTCACACGAGCAGAAGGGATCAGGGACAACATTAAGAAGATACAAGTCTTTCCGCAGTTGTGAGAAACCAACTCTGCATCTGCAAAAGCTAATATCTGCATCTCTGTTATAAATAA